CAAATTTGCAAAATACTCGTTTTAGCAAACTAACATGTCTTACAGTGGTAGACGATGCCCGGGAGCAGTTTAAAGAATAGCATAGGTCGTATTGAACAATGACGCCGAGATCCTTCTCATTCGAGGCGTATGGAAGTTGTTGATCTCTCGAGACTCGCCAGGGAAAACGCTATTGCGTATGATTTTGCAAAGCTAGAATGCAGCCCCTGGAACGGGTCATTGAGCAGTACATACAACGAAGAACTCGCGTCAATGTATGAGCACAAGGATTTCACAACAGCGATTGCAAATAATTCCACACCGCAGACACTATCTTGCTTCACTACACCGCCTTCATCGTAACGCCGTCCTACAGAGATGCCCATTCATCTATTGGTCACTACAGTAGACGGTTACTAGCGGTAGTACTTCTGATATAAATCCCACCCCGGTTCTCTCACTGCTTGCCTCGACTAATTTCCACGCTGAATCGAGCTTTTTGGGTGATGTCTTGGGGATGTATTCGAATCTCATCACCACAGCGTGACATTCCCCATCGTGTGTTGTACGGCAGCCGTTTGATTGGCCGCTTCGCCCTTCCTGAAAGTTGCATTATTACGTATTCAATAGGAGGTAAAAGTAAAAAAGGAAAGAGTTCTTGGCATCCTCTTTAAGATGGCCGCTTTTTAAAGCTCGTGACGTCCAATGTATAAACACTTGCATTTAGGATAAAAGATGCGTTTAGCCAGAACGCGCAGGACTCTAGGTATCGAAGTGCTGCATCCAAGAAACTTTGATTTAAGAATTCAGCTTCATTATCCAACTAAATGCTCCCATTAAACCAATCCATGAAGTTTCACTGGAGCCTCTCCGGGGGTCAAGAAGCTGTAGCTTCAGGTTTTGTTGGCGTTGGTGCACCTCTCAGTGACAGCTACTTGTCTTGATTGTGTTTACCCCCATGAAGTGCAGTCCACATGAAGTCAACGATATATTTTGCCGAAATCTGCTTGAACTGTTTCGGGTTGCTATCGTGATTCCTGTAGGACATATGAATTCTAAGGTAGATCTGAAGTAATCGAATTGAGTGCCTTTAAGAGGATCTATGAGGATCGATTTCGGTAGTTCAGAGAAAGAGGAATCGTTTGTTGCCATATACTCTGACTCCCACCTACTCTACGACAGCACGAACTTCAGATACTTCACCCGTCGGTACGCTACCTGTAGTCCACATTCCCCAAGTCAGTCCCCAGATCGAAGAACTAGGGTGATTGCACATAAGATCACACTGGAGAACTTTTCCGAAATAATGTGGAACGATTGTAGCTCGAGACGCGGATGTTGTTGTGTGTGTTCGCCGAGCCGAAGTGTTGTTTGCCTGGCTACGAAACGTTTGTGAACAACATTTCCACGAACAACTCCGAAATCCGATTACACATAGGTCTAGATCAAGGAGTATGTGTGTTTAGGTGAGCGCTACAAACGCATGACACAGCGGCTGTTAGACAATCATAATCTAATCTAATCTAATCTAGACTGCTTCAACGTCGTCTGCCAAGATGCGCAAGCTGAAAAGTTAGAACCATCCCACCTAATACAACCAATCAGCTCATCTCGAACGTTTCGCACTTCGCTGACCATTTTTATGGCACATTTGTATGGGTGATGAAGAGTACACGGGACAAAAACCACCGTCATGAGAACCTGCTGTTTGCCCGTGTAAAATGATGACCTAAGTCTGAGGACCTGGAGCGACGAATTACATAAAACCCCGCTAAGGTAGGTGTGGTATTGAACTGGAGGACAGCGAAACTACTTAGCACCAAAGTTGGGTGGCAGTGGCAGGGNGGTTCGCATCTCGGATCCTAGAGTCCATTGCACACCAAGACCGACAGTTGGAGCACATGAAAACCACGAACCAATAAAACTAAGTGAGCCGTGCCCCGGCACGCTTTGTCGTGACGCTATGGAGTTCCACAGTCTCTGCAAACTCTTGAAGCACGGAGATCCAACCTGACCGACGACGAGCATCAAGAAACGCAATCAGTAATGAGAACGTACCGTCAACCTGTAAAAGAATCGCGGTATCGTTATGCATCAGAAATGAAGCTCGTTGTGTCCATGTGAAGTTTCAGTGAGCTGTCTCGCCTCATCAGCAGTAGGAAAGCTCTAGATATGAACGATACGATCTGTGAAACTGACGGTTAACCAATTCACAATCAACGACAAAGCATTGCATGCTGAACGGAGCACTTTGAGGAACAGCTTAGGCAGCTTTTTTTCACAGATATTTCGGCGAACGTCTTGTAATCTCTTTCGACAAACCCACTTTCCGTGGCAGAAATACGAGGGAGATTCAAAACCTAAGAATTCATGATGCACCAATCCCCGAAGGCCTTGTTTCAGCTGATGATGGAATGAAGTTTGCCACGGAATCGGGAGTTCTTTTATCCAAGGTTTTGAACGTCCGCCTAGTTGGGGGGGGGGTGTCTATTATTGTCCTTATATTTAGAGGGGATTGTGCAGTAGCCACGTCAACCACGATCCGAATAGCATAAAAGCTGTTAGAGTCAGTCAGTCAGATTGCTGACTGAACAATACGCGTCAAGAGAGCACTCGCGATGAGCCGACTGGGAAGGGGTAAGTTAAGGATGTATCGATTAAATTTTCATCCCCGAACAGTTAACAGTGAACTGTCAGGCGTATCAGAGACCAACGATCATTGTGTTCGTAGACATTTGTGCGGCCCTCGACTCTCTCAATAAGACCGCACTATGGAACTGTTTGCTGAGGAATGAAGTACCTAAGCAGTATTCTTCTAGATTATTCATTCTCCATTTTTCACATTATTATTTGATTACAACGTAGCAACAAAAGTCATGAACCATAAAATGAACCGAGAAGAGGTCTTTTCATTCAACAATGGCGATATTTCGACAATTACCTGAGAAGCACGTGTCAACCCTCAAAAAGTAGTATCGTTACACCTCAGGTCACTTTAGGGCACATGGACAGCTCTCATCACCCTTTGACGTCTCCAGGGGAGTTCAACAAGGCTCATCTCCATCCCTATATGGATGAAATCGCTCTGTTGGGAGAACATACATGGGTAGTCCAACTGGGTTTGAACCGCCTAGTTTTGAGGCTTAAAGATCTGGTACGAGCTTTGTACCGTCAAAATGCAAAGTGCTTGTGTCTGCACTCAACCTTTGTGATGATTAGTTAAAACTGTAGTTGGGAGTTTTAAGCACTTCAAGAGATTGATTGCAGCTGAATGCGGTGCACAGAGCCATGCACAAAGCCATTAGGTGGAGTAGGTGTCGCTCGTCTTCCAGGTTGGGGTCCGAAAGACTCCACAACTGGTTGGTTGGAGATATCGAAGGATATGGTAGCGAACCGGCAGCAGTGGCGTTCTTGTTGTTGTTTCTTATCAGGTCAGAATGCTTGAAACGGTGTGTATGCAGAGTTTGATTGCGTACTCTGTGTGTTGACCACAATGGCTCATCTTCTCCTTTCCTCAAAATAGATCCAACCTCTGTCCAACTTAAATTTTACCACTAACCTTGTATGCATTGAGTTTGGCAGCGGTCAGTGAAGTTCGCTTCACTGTATTTCGCTGTGCGATGATGAATGCGGTGTTGGAGAAGAAAACAGTGAAAGCTGAGAATCTTTTTCTAGCATGCGACAACCGTGGCGCAACCATCACATTGTACTTATCGTAAGGTAAAGGGCGTACGAGCCAATGTATCAAGGTAAAGACCAATGCGTTCAAAAAGCCGAACTAAAGAGAACGCAACAGTAAAACGCGAAGATAAAACGAGTTGCGTATTCGGAGGAAATGAACTAGAACAGGACAAAGGAAATAAACACGGAGGAGCAGACCGATAAAGATAACATACCGGGTTGGGATTGCACTCCGCGAACGTAGACTGCATTGAGCCACAACCGGGTACGGGAATAGGTTAATTTTTTTGATAAAAATGTATCGTAGTACTGAACGTAACGACGCTGACTGGGGATAGTGACTCCTTTACCATCCTCTGTGCGTTTTTCTCCGTACATGTGAAGCGCATCGGTCGCATTCCGAGCCAAACCCAATTGAAGTAGACTCGCACAAACCATGACTCCAGTACGGCCCTGGAAGTGCGACCGAAAAAGTAAGCAGGTAAGGTACAGGACGGTACAGCATACACATTGTTGCGTATGTCTAGTCTTCTAATAACATTGATTTCGGGTGAATACAGAAAGCCGGAAACAGCTGAATGACGCACATAAATTAACAACCCAAAATCAATGTGGTTGATCAGGATGAAAGATAAGACTGAATATAGAGTTTATTCAACAGAAGGGGCCGCCGCGCATAATTTTAAAGTTTAATTTCAAAACTGTTTCAGTTATTTCATGTTCATTAAAGATTTTAATTCAACAACAGGATGTTCTGAAAGAGTTATTGACACTCAAACCCAATAAATCACCCGGTCCCGATAGGTTGGAGGCTACCATGTTTAAGGAGTGCGCTCACATAATTTCGCCAGTGCTCACCGCTCTGTTTAACCAGTGCTTGGAAAACGGAATTATGCCGGATTGTTGGAAATCTACCTCCATCACTGCAGTGGCTAAAAGAGGCACCGAAAAATTCCGTCCTATTGCATGCACGTCCGTCGTGTTGAATTTTTCGAGAAGTTACTCCTTCAAGGAATGTCATCTCACCTGAATGAGCAGGACCAAAACCAATTTGCGCACCGTCGCTCTCCTCCACACTAGATGCCGTAGCTTCTCTGGTTCACTATATTCTGTCAACACTAGATGGAGATAATGAATTCATCAGAATTTGTTTCTTGGATTACAGTGACGCCTTCAATTGTGTTGACAGGTCTATGCTGTTAAATATTTGCCTTCCAATGGAATATTGCAAACTATAACTACAGTACTCACTAACTATTTCACAAATCGACCAGTTCACACGCTACCTTGGTTGTTCCTTCTCTTGCTTAATTTCTACACTAAGCGTGTTAAACGGTGCCATTCTATCCCGTTTTTCTCCCACTTATATTTCATCCAGGCCTACTTTTCAAAACTTCCTGCTCATTAAATTTACGGACGATGTTGTGGTCGGAATCGCCCACTCTGATGCATCTGTCACCCCCAACCTACAACTGGTTCTTACTAAGTTATTCACTGAGCATAACGTAACTCTCAATCCCTCTAATTACGTAGACACACTGTTCTCACTTCGGAGAGGGAATGGTTATGCTAATCTTCTGGAATCCTGTCCTACGTTAAATATATGTGATGATACTATTGTCCAACCCCAAAATGTCAAATATCTATTATGGAAATAACTTACAAGCTCATTCTTCTTTCATCCAATAGGTTTATGTAATGGTTAAAAAACAGCGATACATACAATTCCTTGTGTAAAATGTCACGTAATACGTGCTTCTTCCACTGCTGCACGCAGCTTCGCTTATGTTGTAATGTAAGGTGTGCTAATGTTTCATCGAGTCTCAGTTTGAAAGATTCAATGCTTGGAGCACAGACCACGTAGGATGGGAGAGAGTTCCAGATCGAACACACTCTGACTGCGAATGACTGACGCCGACATTTTGAGACTACTAGTTTGAATGGATGTCCTTAAAGATGAACGTTGGGTGATAATTTCAGAAGCGGGCGACACGGATAGCTTGGGTTTTGCATTATTTGGTATACCATAATCATATCATCTCTGATGCGCCGTTAGTGACTTGAATCTTTCTGCGCATGGAAACCGATTCAACCCCCTGACCATTTTGATGGTCATTCTTTGCGGACGGAAGTGTCTTGGTGTGTTAATAAACCGAAACGTACGCTGGTCTGACCACGTTATTTCTGTATTTAGGAGGGTCAGGAAACTCTCATTTTACGACTGAAAACACCATCCGTCCCTCGCTTCTTGATTAAATGTTTACTTTCATTTCGCCCCTATGGTTGTACGGGTCCCCAGTAATCTTTCCAGGGATGTTCAAATAGCACTTTAACTTGCTTTCCAGATCATTAACACAATCATCAATAAAAAGGGGGATTTCTCGTGAAACTATCTATCATTTCCGAACATACAAAGTTATACTTTTTGTTATCAACAAAAATCATGGACAGCCCTTCACGTCCATTACATCAAGATCTTATTGTGTATGTATCCTCCTCCTCCACCCGGTCCCGCTATAATTGTATATTTGCTCTTACGACCGCCTAGGGGTCTTCTGTGGTGCCCTACCTTGCCCGTTTTCTTGTCAGCCTAGAACGCATCGCTTCGGAACTTAACTCACTCATCTCATAAATTGTTTTCTTTTTCCTTGCTCACGATAATTCTGCTACAATTTTGATCGATAATTGTTGGTTGACTATGTAACTGCTGAATATCCACCTTTCGGGGTGTATAAAACAAATACTTAACTTGAAGTTAAAATGTGACCAGACAAGAACGAAAAACAAGAAATATCAGACTGTGGTTCAGCAATACGATTCTCGCTAGAAATCATTATGTTAAGATGCGAGCCTATCTTCTCTGATATCATCGTGGCTCCCAAATCAATAAATTGATCCCTTAGGTAATTAAACCTCTGTGTACTAGACTAACCATATTTTATCCATGTTTTTTGAAAGAAACAAGCATCAAATGACCGAACAAGCTTGCTTCTGTCCTGCGTACCACTCCGTTTGACCAAATTGTCAGAGTGAAATACCTGGTCACTGACCATGCTAAAGTGTCCTTGATAATCGATAGATTCCCTGCTCTCCAGTGACCGGGTGACGCAACCACAAACAGGGAATTCCAATACCAGGCTAAAGACAAGATATCTTGTTGGAACGGGAGAACTCCGTTGAACAGAGACAGTCAGTACATTACCATGTCCACAATACGATTGCAAGATCAACATAGCCTGCGTATTTGTAGAAGGCGTGTCTAGCTCTGCGAGCCTGTACATACAAGTATTCTATGCAGACATCCTACTGGAGCGATTGTAGTGGACAAATAGACAATTCCCTGTAGAGATGAACAGCAAAACGCTATGTTATGATTTCTTCGGAACCCGTTTCGCTGAGGATCGCCATAACTTGATTTCATGGCACTATGTTTACTGCGACCGTAACTCCAGTATGTCTCAGCCCGTCATGTAAATCATAACATCAGAAACGAATTCTACAAGAACTTGCAGAATTTAGATCATCGAACATCAGGCATGACGTTTTGCCGACACGGGTCCCGTAGACGAAAACATTTAAAATATATTGGGAAATCAGGTTTTAGTGAAAGGTGGGGAAAAGATGACAGCTCGGTTACGGGCTTGCAGTCGGGAATACTCGCTTCCAACTTTCCCAAAGCAACTGTTAGCTTGGTATTATGGTGACAGCATGACTGAACACTATATTTATAAGTGAGTTTTGTCGGTAGAGAACTGACGAGGGTAACGTAGTACCCGACGTGAGAAACGCTAATGGCACTGAAATCACGCTGACTTGTGTTCGTTTGGAGATTTATCTTTCTGTGAAACGGAAATCTCGCCTACAAATTGAAGCAAATAGTCCTTAGCTAACAATTACAAGCAATATCTAGAGTTTATCAAACGCTACGGCTTCGGGACGGACTGCTATCCCCAGCCAGGAAAGCATAAATGTGCTACGGATGGCGATATATCTCTATCACAAGCGATTTCCTTGAACAACTGAGCAAAATGCTTTGGCACGAAGAAACTCAACACCTGCTCGAAAGCTATGGATACGAGATTCCATATATCACCGCAACGTTCTCTGAGAAGCTACTCATTCGGCGAAGAATGATCGTTAATGATACTGATCTGGGTTTTTTAAAAAGGGTTGGTAATAACAGCCGTTGTTGGAGACATAGAGGAACTTGTCTGGTTCATACGGACCGCTTGCAGAAAGACGCAGACCAAAAAATCTTGTTTTTGTGAGACGAAAGAGGCTACTCCAAACCTGGGAATGGACGAAAACTCCTAAAGATGAGTCGAACATTTAAGATTACTGCTTGAACGCTCTAGAGACTAATCTACCTGCACTACCAAGGTTGATCGGAGAATATGAAATCCAGCTGGATCCACCTAAAAAAATGGAAATGGTCGCCGCACTCATGGTGATAGAAAGACAGGAAGTTCCCCCGGGGAGACGGTGTCGCATTCCAGAATCTATGATGCGTATTTACCAACTTTATTGAGCCGATAGGCCAAACTATTCCGCTGTATCTTGGATACAAATTCTCCCGAAGATTGAATGATATTCAGTTGGTTCCATATACTAAGAATGGCTATAAAATCTGGCACACTGCAGAGGCATTACCCTTGATGACAGAAGAAAAAGAAGGTTTTCCCAAATATTTTGTTCAAACCCCTTTGTTGTTGAACGCGACACAAGAAAACATCCAAGTAGGCACCATTTTTTGACGAGGTTAATGCTGCGTAAACCAAATCTTTATGCTACGGTCAATCATACAAAGTTATCATAAATTTCAGTGGTTAGGTTCAACCCCCTTTATTGACTTTCACAAGGCAATGAACTATGTTAATACACGATGATTCACAAACATACAATTTATTCAAATGATACAAAAGAGAAAAGGGATAATTAACCAAATCGAACGCGTGTTGGCGTCTTCTGTAAAGAGTCTATGTAGTTTTCACTTATTTTTGAGTCTATCAAGACTATACCCGAACATTAACCCTGTCTAACTTTGCCACAAACTATTGAGGAATGTAAGTCAAACATTAGGCTTCGAACATCAAATTTGAATGTGCCGATGAGCACATATAATATTTCATACATATATTTTGTTCAGTCATTCACACATTACTTATTATTAAATATTCTGTAAAGACGAGAAAGTCACGTTGGTTGCGGTTAGTAGCATCTAACCCACCTACAACATATCGAACCATAGCATTGGTTCTTCAATGGACTGTATCTGAAAGAGCTGTCAATTCAAAAGTCACCCGGTGCTGCAAACAGGGTTTTTGTGACGAAAATACTCTTCCTGGGTACAAGCATATGAAAGAACTGATAAAAGACTACCGGATACGCATACCGAACGAGCGGTAAGAACCGCGAAGCCGGTTGTGTGCTTCCAGGGA